AAAAACCATTTATTTTTATAAATAAAATCGAAATCCATTTTTATGTTTAATTTTTTTAATATAATAAACATTCTGCCATATTGTTATTTTTTTGCATTCTGTTTATAAAAGTGCGCAATAATCTCTTCAGATTTTTTTTTAGTGAAGCTAGTGATATAGTCCCCATCACCGCAGACTACCTCTGATAAATTGGAAATTTTGGTATACTAAAAAGAAATCTTCGATATATTAATTTTAAATATTTATTTCAAATTTTATAATATATTTGTTTATTACTTATTATGTAATAGATTTGTTGAATATGTTGATCGACGTTATTTTATTATTTATTTTGGCAATTGATTTATCTTATTATATATCAATTTGTATTTAAATTTAATCGGTGAAAATTTTATATTAACATTTTAACGTTAGATTTTTTTAATGTCAATTTGTATATCAAAGAATTAGTTATTTTTTTTATTGTTTAAAAAAAGATATATAAGGAGAATAAAAAATGTAATTCAGGACGAAAAGATAATAAAATGTAAATTATTATAAAAATAAAATTATAATCAATATAAAATGTGATATAATTATCTACCTATAATAAAACGTGGATCTAATTTCAACAAGATTAATGTTATTACTTATTATATAAATAAGTGATTTTTCAATAAAAATATTTTATATACTTTTAGAATTACAATTGAATTGAATATAAACTATAAGAATATAAACTATAACTGATCATTATAATATATTTAAATGACATGTTATGGTATAGTTAAATTACAGATGTTATAATAATAAAAAGTATATTAAAAATTAAAACCATTGGTATCTTTACAGATACAAAGTTATATAAGATATCGGATCGGTAATCGGCCGATATCAATTTAATATCGGGAATATCGGATCGGCCTCATAAAAGTGGTATCGGCATACCCCTACTTTAAATTCATGATAACGAAAAAAGCAAGTAGTAATTCTACATTAATGATCAAATAAATTTAAAAACTCCCTCATTTTGAAAAGTGCATATTAAATTCCTCTAATGTAGTTTTATACATGATATATTTAACTGATAAAATCAACTTTTCTAGTCGATATTTTTTTATCTTCCCTATGTTAGATTGTTAACATAAAATATTAGGTTTAAGAAATAAAGAGTCTTATATATTTGTTTGTGATACAGGATATAAATAGATATAGCTAAATAAACTCTAATGAAAAGTATATGGTAAATCTCCAACACTGAAGATCAAATAAAATATTTAAGCCTATCATTTTTATAATATATAGGATTTCTGAATTTAGAATATTTAAATACCTTGTTTTCATAAGTTCACTTTCTTATAAAGTTTTATACATGGTGTTAAATTTTTTATTTGACGAATTCAATTTTTACTGTATGTTTTTCTACATTCCCTACATAGTTGGGCAGGTCCTCCAGAAAAAAAATCTAGATACAGATTCTTAATAAAAAATAAATCTTAGATACAGATACTAGTATCTTTTTCAAAATATCAAAAAGATTAGAGTATCTTAAATACAAGATACTTTTAAATTATCATTATCAATTAAATTAGATTAGTTTAAAAAATACAGTTTTTATTATTTATTTGTGAAGAACATAGCATACACATATAAGAATGAATATTTGCAATAATTAATAAAACATTTATTAATGAATTAATTATTATAACCAGGGATTTTATTATTAGTTTTTGCCCATTAATAGCTTAAACAGGGAAGGGAGAGTAGTATATTTAATGGTAGTTGAAAATAAGAAAAAAAATTAAATCAAATGATTTATTAGAATTTGCAGGTTTTTTTCTGTGTTGTTTTAAATATAGCTAATATTAGGAGTATATGGCTAAATGCAGGCGCGTACGCAAGAATTTGGTCTGGGGGGGGGGATAATAAAATTTTTTAAGAAATATTATTGTTTTTTTTAAAATATAAAGTATAAATTTATTAGGACTAATAACTATTTCTAATACACAATTTTAAATTTATGTGAATTAAAAAAAATTATATGTAAAGAATCACTTAAATGACCCAAAATAGAAATTTGATTTTTTTGAGCCTTTACACAAAAAATTTCTTAGGAATAATTGCATTTTGTATGTTATATATTTACAATGTAAAATCCAATCTTCGTTGTGATTGAGCTAATTTTTCAATTATCTCATCCTTGCTTGTCGTCAAATGCCTATGAATATTCAAAAGATCCAAACCTTTCCATCTACTTTCAGATGTTGTACTTCTTGGTATTTCAGACAGGCTGGACAGTATTTTAATTTTTTAAATATACCCGGGCTGGGCTCGAAATTTTAAAAAAAACACCCAAGCCGGGCCTGAATTATTTTAAAAAAACACACAATCCGGGCTGTATTTTTTAAAACAGCCTATATTTGAAATCGTTATTATTAGCTATAGAAATCAAAAATAAATAAAATTTATTTTAAAAAAATCCGAGCCGGGCCTGTAAATTTTATTTTAAAATTTTTTTAAAAAAAACCCAGGCCAGGCCGTAAAAAATCTTTAAAATAAATCCGGGCCGTGCCCTGCAAATGGTACTTCTGCAGGCCTCTGTTATTCTTCTTAAAAAAGAAAATGTTCTCTCATTAGTTTACGAATGGGAAGAGTTTATAAACCCTTATAATACATTGAGAATTTAATCTAAAATGTGTTTGAAATAATCAGAGCATCCATAGCATTATGGGACTATATCAACCATAGTTAATCTTATAAACATAGTTATTCAGCTAGTAAGGCATCATTAGATACTTTAACATCTTCATAATAAAAATCTAACAAATATTTTTTTTTCCATCACCATCTGAAAAAGATTGGGAAGGCTTTTGTGGAAGTAATATTTGCAGATTTGTAAGTGCTGCATGATGAATTAAAAATTCATTTATTTTGTTATAAATGTATCTGTATTTGAGATATACTCTTCTACTGATCCTATATTAATGTTTTAACGATGAGCTTGCCTTGCTATAAGTCGAGGGAGACAAATATTAAACACGTATAGCTCTGCTTTTGACTCAACAATAAAATATGAAATTCTTCATCAACTTTAGCCCTAATTTCCTTGAGTTCTGATAAAATGCTCTCCGCTATTCTCAACTTCTTAATTAAGTCAATGTTATGTTTTTGAAAAGTAATACTTAAAATAGTTGTATAATTAAATAATACATTCTAATGAAAAATAAAATTTGGAATAAGCATTGAATAATTTTCTTGCTTCTGAGGAAATATTTCTTTCAGGTCATTGTGATATTTCAGTAATAGAATTAATAATCGGCTCTTCTAACTCCATAAAAGCTGTTACTGCTTGATGGCGGATACTCTATCTTGTTGGACAAGGTTGCAATTTCTTTCTCCCTGTTGGACAATTTCAGAAATAATTATTATTTGACTAGAAATTTAGATAAATAATAAGCCACTAAAATTTGAAAATAATAGGTAAATTACGCCAAGGAAAACTTGAAATCGAAATTAATTGATAAAATAACTTAGTAGATGAATGTGATAAATAAATGTAATTAAATATATATATATGAGATAGGAATAAATATTAACAAATATTTAGTTTATTTTCTAATATGACTTATTAATTCTTGAGTTTGTAATATCATATACATAAATATCATTTAAATCTCTTTTCAATTTTTTTTTATATATTTCTTGTAAAATCATTTATTTATAAAGTTAAATTCAAATTATTATAATTATTTTATTTAGAGCCTTTTAAAATTATCTATTCTGCCATATTGTTATTTTTTTTGCGCATTCTGTTTATAAAAGTGTGCGATATTCTCTTCAGAATCTGTTTTTAGTGAAGCTGGTGATATTGACAGTTACTATCGCCGCAAGCTGACCTCTGGTAAATTGGAAATATTGGTATTTCTAAAAAGAAATCTTCCATATATTAATGTTAAATATTTATTTATATAAAAGTGATTTAACAATAAAAATATTTTATATACTTTTAGAATTGCAATTGAATTATATAAACTAAAACTGATAATTATAATATATTTAAATGACATAAGTTATGGTATAGTTAAATTATAAATGTTATACTAATAAAAAGTATATTAAAAATTAAAACCATTGGTATCTTTACAGAATACAAAATTAGATATGATATCGGATAGGTAATCGGCCGATATCAATTTAATATAGGAATATCGGATCGGCCTCCAAAAAGTGGTATCGGTACACCCCTAAAAAAATATATATCCAAAATGATTTTAATTTGATAATCAACCATCTTCTATAAAAAAATTTAATATATCAATAATTATAAAATAAAAATGTATGATATACTTTAATATGTTTAAAAGTTTGTAGAGGAGTTTGTTGAACCTTTCTTGTGCAATTTTCATTCAGCTTGTACCTTGTGCTTTTTCATATGAATTACTTTATACCATCTAGAATTTTAAGATTCGGATTTGATTCAGGAGAACCTATCTCCATAATTTCATCTTCACTACTATGAATGTTAAACATTCTACAAATTAAAAAATATATCCTTTTCTTATTTAGGTTTGGTGTTGTTATTTTTAATCTATATATCTTTGTGACCTGTAAAATTTCCAATTAATTTTGGTTTTCAATATATTTAAAATATAGCGGGAAAAAATAAAGAAAATAATACAAGATTTCACGAAGAAAATAAAGTTACATTGTGTGATATGCAAATGTTTTAAACAATAATATTAAAAAGAATCTGTATCTGTATTTTTTAAAGAAAATAAAAAAGATACAAGATTCTTTTCAAAATAAAGGATCTTAGATACAGATACTAGTATGTTATTAAAAATAGTCAATAAGATACTGAGTACAAGATACAAAAGGATCTTGTATCTTAGATACAAGTATGCGCAGTACTGCCCAACTCTGCTTCCCTATGTTAGACTATTAATATAAAACATTAGCGTTAAGAAGTTATAGATTGAAGAATAATTTTATTTGTGAAACATGCGTAAAGATCGTTTTCATATTATAAATAGATAAAGCTAAATAATCTCTAATGTATAGCATATGGTAAATCTATAAACTGTCCTTATCAATTATTATCAACTAATTTTATATTTAAAAAATGTAATATAAGATTATAATCATGAATAGATTTAAGAAGTATATAAAGATTAATATTATCAGAGGATGATTAATGATTCTGGATTAATTACCTAAAAATATTATGCTATTTAGCCGGTTATTGAATTATTTTTATCGAAATTAGGAGGCGTTGGTGTTGCTTGCTTATTTGTCCAGCCTGTCATCATTTTTTTGAGTTCTGATATCGCTTTTGCTGGGTTTAAATGCTAAAATTATTTAAAATAAATAATTTTTTTGAGCTTAAAAGAATAATGAATATTTCTCCAGCAGCATAAAACTGGTATAGATTGGGGCAATGGATAGCGATTGATCCCCGAAAAATCATTATATACACAAATTGTGTAATATTTATATTTTAATTTTATGAATTTCTAAATATTAGTTTGTATTTTTATTTGAATATTTTTCCGTTTCGTATTTTATGTAAATTTAGTTTATTTTATTGGATGATGATGGCTATATTATTTGAAATATATGATTTTGGGCTGGGGAGGCAATTAGTTTTAACAAATTTTAAAATAAAATCTTATATTTTTACTTACTGCAATCTAAAACTATATTTTTAATAAAACAATATAAATAGTTTCGAATTATTTTTTTGACCAAAAAATTACTAAACTTTTAGAATATTTAAAAAAAAATTAACTCCACTCCCCTAACAAAAATCCCGCGAGCGCCCCTGAAAATAATGAGAACATAAAATGTTAAAAAAAGAGAAAGAGATAAGATATAATTTTATAAGTAAAATCTAGTAGAGTAGTAAGTTAAAAAAAAAATTAAATTTAAAGTTCAAATATTTTGTTAGGCAAAAAAGACCTTTACTGATATTTGTTATTTACCTTACATTATGATACTAACATAGAGCACATCGCAAAAAATTATATTTATTTTTCCTATAACTAGTATCAGAGGACAGCACCACCGGGTCGGCAAAAAGATTTTCTGACTGGGAGTCAAACGTTCTAAAAAATTTTGAGCTTAAAATTAGGCAAATTTATGTTTTCTTGTATAATTTATTATGGATCGGCCAAAAAATTTATGGATAGGGTCGATAAATATTATGCCGGTTGGTTCGGTCAGGCCAACATCTATTTGTTAGCACCGGTAGTTAGCTATTGTAACTTGAGGACCAGCCCGAATTGAAAAAAATATTACTTTAAACCGGTGTAGGATTGTGAAATCAATAACTGTATTGATATTATCATTGAAGATTTAATACCGTAGTGATATTTTGGTATTGTAAAATCAATACCGTATTCATTGTATATTTTTTCATAGTTTTAAATATATTGCAGCTATTAAAATTGTAAAATATTTATCACCCCTTCAGCAATACAGATAATAAAAAAATCTAACAATAAATATCTCCTACAATCAATATGCTAAACACCACAAAAGATACATTATGCACTGCATAAGAACGATAAAAGGCTTTTTATTGCCAACTTATCTAGTTCTACACAATTAAATCTTGACAACAATAATATATACAAGGCTTTCCAATCTCTTAAACGACTCAACCTTTAAATCCAATCCTATACCGAGATTACACATAGAAAACAATAAAATTATAATGAACCACAAGGAAGAATTAGCTATATGGATAGATCATTACATGAATCTTTACAGAACTAGATGGCCAAGACCGATATGTGATTATCCTTTCCAACCACCTAATCGGAACCTGAGCAAAATGGATATAATCAGTGCCATTAAACGACTAAAAACGCATAAAGCTGTTGGAATCGATTGGATCTTTGCGGAACTCTGGAAGATAGATGCAGATCTAAGTGCTAGTCTACTGCTTCCACTTTTTAATGAGCAAAAATAAGAACTCGATTAGCCTGAAGGACTATAGAGGTATTGCACTGATCACGATTACCCTAAAAATGTTCACATATATTATAGCAGTCAGGATCAAACCAATCATCGATAGGAACCTCTCAAACGCTATCACATCGTAAAGGAAGTGTAGAAACACGACGGAACTAACCATGGCGTTGAAGGTTATTCTGGAAAAAGCTAGAATGCATAAGTCCCCCATTTTTGCCCTATAATTGATTTAGCTCAATCCTTTGATTCCATTATACAGCATAAGATTTGGCCATTACTGGAAGGCATACGAATAGATAAGCGTCTAATATCGCTAATATATATAATTTACAATCATAGCGCAGGACACTAAAAGCAATATTAACACATCCCAGACCTTTATAAACAAATATCTAAGAAGAATTACTAAAATATACTATCCAAACACACCTCAAACTCAACATGAAATAGATGCGACATCCTGCCAAACAATAGATTCATTTTTTAAGAAGATTAGAATTATTTAGTCATTGCTTAAGACATTCTCAAGAAAATATGATATTTTCGTCTATGAAATGGACCCCAGATTATACGAGGCAGAGAACTCGCAAATACTACTGGCTGGCCAATGTCTGAAGGACATGGATTTGATAAATCTTTGGTTTACATTTTTTGGCCAGCAAAAACAAAAAACATAAGGAACACCTACAATACATGCTTAGACATGGTTTGAACTAGAACAGGAATCGTTAGGAGGAATGAGACTACCCTCGCACAGCCTTTCCTTCACCTCTTCTCCCGGAGTTGAATGATAATTTATGTTTTCGGCAGAGGTTATTTTGGAAACTATGGATAATGAAGTATGATAAGGCTGATGGTAATTTTTTATTTTTGATAATTTTTTCTTTTCTCTACTGGACGAAAGATATGACAACGGCAATGATAACCATGGAAGCGTGAATAATAAAAATGATAACGATTCCCGTTCACTATAATAATGTTATAAAAATGAGGATCCCGAGCATCGCTTGCTTAGTACAGACAAGGATTTATGGGGACACCTAATGAATGACAAAAAATAATGAAGGAAAAAAGAAAACAGAAAAACAAACAAAACGATAATAAGCATCTTAGGATAATGGTTTTCAGGGACCAACTTTACAATTATAGGGAACTTAGATGCCTCTGGCACGCTATATAGACATAGCGTTATCTTCCAAGGATATATTTTTCTTCTCTTAAATAATCTAACCAGGCGACAGGTACATTATTATTACAACTTTTAACACAATCCTGATAGTAACGGAACTAATAGATCACCTCTTTATTACTCCTCTCTTCTTTACTATGCTAGCAGACTATATATTGGTACCGTCTACTATAATAAAACGGGTGTACATCATGTATAGGATCTATATATTAGTGAATATACATGGTGGACGCTACAACTCCTGGTGTGCGATGAAATGGCGTGGTAATAAATGAATGAATATATTTATTCATCGCTTCAAATTGGCGGCCATTAAAATTGTAAAATATTTATTCTTATATATTTTTTCATCGCTTCAAAAATATTGGCGACCATTTTCGATTTGTAAAAATTTATTTAAAATGGATTTAAGTAGTGTTGTTATACGGCTCGTTTTGAGCCGATTTTTAAAAATCAAGATTTCGAAAATATATGTCTAGACATTTGTTCCTTCTATGAGCAAAATCTTCAGGCTTGGGTAATATTTTTCTGGATGAGGTATTGAGTTAGCCGTTTTTAAAAATCAACGAGCCGTTTAACAACACTAGATTTAAGTTTTAAATAGTGCTGTAAAGTAACGTCAAAAAAGGTAATGTCGTTATTAACGACGTTACCTTTTTTGAATAAAAAGAACGCCATTCGTTACCTTCTTCTATAAAAAATATTAAAAGCATATTTTTAAATTTACCTTTATTTATTTTTAAAAAATAATTTAAGCCAAGTTTTAATTCATATCAACCACCATTACTTCATTTTTATTTTAAATTCTCGTTGTTAAATTTTCAGTCGAATGTTAATCTAATTAATATTCAATCAAAATTCAGAGTAAATGTTAATAATATTATTATTATTCTATTTTATAAGTTATTTTAAGAATATTATATCCATAGTACTTACTTCTTCAGATGAAGATGATTTGACCCGTCCCTGGCCCCAATTTGAAACATATTTTACACCAATAAAGAAAATTAAGGGTATAAAGTCTACACTTTGTAAATGTAAATTATGTCCTAACGCAAATATTTCAACTTCAATGTCAAGCAGTTCAAACTTAAAAAAGCATATGAAAGTAAAAAGATGAATTAATATATTATTATTTTAAACATTACTTTAATAATAGAATTAATCATGAGTATATAACCACTAAAATAAATTATTCTTCCATAATTTTTTAAAGCTTAATCATGAAATTAAAATATAAGCAATTTAATTATAGCAGTGACGAAGCGTCAAGTTCACTACTAGGGATGCAATCAAAAAAGATTTATATTTTGGTCAAACTCAAGCCATAAAAACATTAAGATTTATAAATAAATGGTATTCGTCTTTGTTTTTGAGTAAAATGATAGTGCTGCATTATAAAAGTTATTGCTAGATTTTAAATTTTTTTTCAATCGAAATCCAATAGATTCAATAATCGATTTTGGCTCATCCTGTTTCTGCAATAAGATTTGATTCTTTTTAAAGATGAAAAACTCCGTTCTGCACTTGCTGTTGTTGAAGCCAAAGTTAAGATGAATTTGCATATTTTAAAAAACTCTTTAAAACTTTTCATCAAATCGGTGCATATTAAAATTCAAGTATTTCCTTAACATTCTTTTTCTTTCTAAATTCAACATCCCGAAACACTACCTATAGTAAATTTTCTTCCGCGAGCAAATAAATTAATTCAATATAATTTCCTCTATTTACTGAATTAGAAGATTCAATATCACCATGGAATACGAACTCCTGGATTCCAAGAAAACATATAGAGTTGATCAATATTTTCAATATTTCTCTATTTAATTTGACTTAAGAATTATGCTGTTCGATTGATATTTCAATATGATTTTGGCCAAATGTTTTAAATTGAATCATCGACTGCAAATGAGCGGTTGATTCTTCATGCCATTTAACTGCTTTGAAAAATTATTCATATCCTAAAATCTTTTATCATACCAAACATATTTTTCCTTTGGGAATAATAGGCATGACCAACAATATAGAGAATTATAAAATTCACATCCAGTGAGCCATTCATATTTATAGATAGAAAAATTACTTATGAAAGTTTTGATTTCTTTTTTTAAGTTTTGTAAAATTGGTTTTAATCTTCTTTTTTCAATAATCAATTTAGCATCAAAATATCTTGAGCTATGTTAA